CTCTCTCTCTCTTCTCCTTCTCTCTCTCTCTCTCTCTCTCTCTCTCTCTCTCTCTCTCTCTCTCTCTCTCTCTCTCTCTCTCTCTCTCTCTCACCTCTCCTCCCTCTCTCTCTCTCTCTCTCCCTCTCCTCCCTCCTCTCCCTCCTTCCCTTCTCCCCTCCCCCCCTTTCTCCCCTCCCCCTCTCTCTGCTAAAAGCCCCAGAAAAAGAAAAAAGAAAAAAAGAAACAGTTATTTGGGATCTTAGACCACTCCCGAGCCAGAGGAAGACAGTGTCATAGCGCGATGGAAAATGAGGAAATATTAGTATGAGGGTTGTAGGAAATGAGTGTGATGGAAAATGAGGAAATATTAGTATGAGGGTTGTAGGAAATGAGCGCGAGAGTGTTATGTGTCGTGGGAAGGTTGTCGTGGAAAAGAAACCTCAGTTAGAAATCTCTGAAACAGTTTGGGGTTTTGGAATAAAGTTATATGGTGTTTATTGTTATTGGTCGGTTCGTGGTGATTTAAGGGGTAGAGGAAAGGGTGATGAAAGAGGGAATGAGAGGAAGATCGGGGAAGAGAAGAGAAACAGAGAGAGGGTATAAATGAAGGTGGGTATGTGGATTTTTTTGTGTTTGTGTGTGTTTAGTTTATGGTTTTTGTGTTGTGTAGTTTATGTGTGTGTGTTAGTGTGTGTGTGTGTTTATGGTTCGTGTGTGGTTCTGTGTGTGTGTGTGTTATGGTTTCGTGTGTGTGGGTGTGTGTGTTTATGGTTCGTGTGTTGTGATGGTTTGTGTGTGTGTTCGTGTGTGTGTGTGTTTATGGTTGTTGGTTTGTGTGTGTTGTTATGGTTCGTGTGTGTGTGTGTGTTTTGGTTCGTGTGTAGTGTTGTGTGTGTGTTTTAGGTCGTGCGTGTGTGTGTGTTCTGGTGTGTTTATGGTTCGTGTGTGTGTGTGTGTGTGTTTATGGTTCGTGTGTGTGTGTGTTTTATGGTTCGTGTGTGTGTTTATGTTCGTGTGTGTGTTTTATGGTTCGTGGTTGTGTGGTGTGTGTGTTTTATGGCGTGTGTGCGTATGTGTGTGTTTATGGTTCGTGTGTATGTGCGTGAAATGGACTGTGATCGTGCATTTCTGTGTGTGTGTGTGTGAGTATGATTGTGTTTGTGTTTTGTGGGTATGTGTGTGAAACGGATTGCAATCGTGTATTTCTGCGTGTGTGTTTGTTCGTGTGTGTGATTATGAGTATGTATGTATTTGTGTGTATGTGTGAAACAGATTGTGATTTGCATTTCTGTGTACGTGCGTGTGTGTGTTTATGTGTGTGTATGATGTTTCTGTGTATATGTATGAATGCGTATGCTCATTTGTATCAGTTTACATGCACATGCAATGACTAAAAGAGAAGACATATTTATGCAAGAGAAACATCAACAAAACACTATTGATACTAATGTGTAGGCAAAATACTCGCTATTGAAAAGATTCCTTTAGATCTTCTCTTTACTCCTTTCTCCCTCGTCAAATTGCATTGCACGAAACCCTTGGCTACTAATTATACCCGGGGGGAAAAAAGTAAAAAAAAAAAAAAAAAAAAAAAAAAAAAAAAAAAAAAAAAAAAGTAAAAAAAAAAAAAAAAAAAAAAAAAAAAAAAAAAAAAAAGTTCACTTGAAAAGGACCGAAATAAAGTCAGTATTTGAAATGCTTCTTTCGCTCGTTATGTATTACATTGGCTGCGTAAAATTGTCCGCTTTTGGAACCGATTCTTATATTTCTCTTTTCTGTTTGGTTCTCTCATTAAGTATTCTTTTGCCTGTTTATCAATTAGTCTATGTATTATCTATCTGTCTGTTCGCTAACTCAGTGTCTTTCGCTATCTAGCCTTTTCACTGCTTACTCTTCTTTTTTTTTCTTTTTTTTTCGCTCTTCTCTTTTCTCTCTCTCTCTCTCTCTCTCATCCTCTCCCTCTCTCATCTCATCCTTTTCCTCTCCCTTCTTTCCTCCCCACCCTATCTGTACCCCACACTTTCGCACCCCCCCTCCCGTTCCCCTCCACCCGTCAAAAAAAAAAAGATAAAACAGATATAAAAGAAAAGAAAAAAATAAATAAATAAAAAAGAAAAGAAAAAAAAAAAAAAAAAAAAAAGATGCACACTTCCCCGTCAGCATTGAGAATCGAAACGGGTAAAGAGATGCTTTCCTGCCATGGAGAGAATACTGGAAAATAATAGGTTGTAATTAATTTTTGAGGTCTATTCATCAGTTGCTTCTATTAAGGGAGGGGGGTGGGGAAGGGACTGATTAGGACTAATGGGAGGGGGGTGGTGGGAAGGGAGTGTAGGGACTCTCTCTTCATACCTCTCATCTGTCTTTTCTCTCTCTCCTCTTCTCTCTCTCTTCTCTTCTTCTCTCTCTTTCTCTCTCTCTGCTCTCTCTCTCCCCTCTCTCACTCACCTATTTCACCGATTTATCTGTCTTTTGTCTATCTGCGTTACTAATTATTCATACCATTACATCATGTACTTCTATATCTACATCCGTATATTTCCCTTATCTCCTCTCACCCAAATATATATCTATCCACTCTATTTTTTTTTTTATTTTTCTTTTCTTTCTTTTCTTCCGATTGTAGCAAATACATTTCTCGGCCCTTTTTCTTTTACCCCCCACCCACCACCCCCCACCCCTCTTCCCTCCCTCCCTACCCTACCCCCCCCCCCCCCCCCCCTGGAAGGTGAAGATATTTAAGAAATGTGAAGGAGGAAGAGTATGAACATTTTTGAGGGGGAGTCAAGGCAAGCATTGGGGACGGGGGGTGGCGTGGGGAGGGAGGAGGGAGGGGAAATGAGGGAGGGAAGGGAGGCGGGGGAAGGAGGAGGGAGGAAGGGGAGGAGAGGGGATGGGGAAGAGAGGGAGGGAGGGGGAGGGAAGGGAGGAGAGGAAGGAGGGGGAAGGGAGGGGAGGAGAAGGGGAAGGAGGAGAGGGGGAGAGGGAGGGAAGAGAGGAGAAGGAGGGAGAGGCGAGTGGGAAGGGAGGGGGAGGGAAGGAGGAGAGGGGAAGGGAGGGTTGCGAGAGGGCGAGGGAAGGGAGAGGAAGGGGAGGGAGGGGGAGGAGAGGGGAGAGGAGGGGTAGGGAGGGAGAGCGGAGGGGAGGGACGCGGGAAGGGAGAGGTGGAGGGAGGGGAGGAAGAGCGGAAGGGGGGGAAGGGAAGTGGTAGGGAGAGGAAGGGAGGGAAAGAGAGGGGAGGAGGGGGAACAGAAGGGAGGGGGAAGGAGAGGGAAGGGAGGGGACGGGAGGAGGAGAGGTTGAGGAGGGGAGGAAGGGGGAAAGGAGGGAGGGAAGGGAGAGGGGGAAGGAGAGGGAAGGGGAGGGAGGGGAAGGAGAGGGGAGGGGGAGGAAGGAGAGGGGAGAGGGGTGAGGGGAAAGGAAGGGGAGGGAGGGAGTGGGGAAGGGAGAGGTTGGGAGGGCGAGGGGAGGGGGGGGGGGGAGAGAAAAGGAAGGGTGAGGAAGGGAAGGAGAGGGACGGGAGGAGGGGGAGGGGAGAGAAAGTTGACCTTTGACTCTTCCCTGAAAAATCGTTTTGCATTTTTAATGTTACCTGTTTTTGTCTTCTTTCGTTTTTATTTCTCTCCTGTTTAATTTCCCTTGGCCTCATTTTTTTTTTTTTTTTTGTCTCGTTTTTTTTTTTTTCTCTCTCCTCTCTCTTTTTGCTTCTGTTATCTTTCTTTCTTTTATTGCTTTGACTCTTCTTGCAAGTCATCTCCCTTTTATCTCTCACTCTATTTTCGTTTTAATTCTCCTGATATTTCATTTTTTTTTTTCAGTTTTTTTTTTCATTTTAGTTCTCCTTTTCCCTCTATTGAATTCTTCTTTTGCTTAGTTTTCAATCTTTGTTGTTCCTTTTTTTTAATTTTATTTCTTCTATTTATCCTTTTCCGATCATTTTTTTTCTCTCCTCTCTCTTCTGCATTTCCTTTCATATCAATGTTTTTCTCAAAATTTCCTTTTCTTTTTATTCATCATGGTTTTTTTTTTTTTTCTTTTATTTGTGGTGTCGGTGGTGTGACGTTTCTTCTTTACCTTCGTTTTCCATTCTTTTGATTCTTTTTCTATACGGTTATGTTAATTAATTTCTTGTATTTTCTTTCTAGTCTTTGTTTTCTTGGTGTATTGCCGTGTCTCTTTTGGTATTATATTTTTCTTTTTCTTTCTCTCTTCTTTTCTATTCGTAAGTGTGTGTTCTGAGTCTAGTTTATTGGACTGGTTGATTGTTGTTTTTTTCATCTCTCTTCTCTCTTTCTTTTTTTATTCTCTCTCATGGTCTCTGTCTGTTCTGTCTCTCGTCTCTCCTCTCTCGCGCGCGCGCCGCTCTTCTCTCTCTCTATGCTCGCTCTTGCTCTCGCTCGCTCTATTGCTCTCTCTCTCTCTCTCTCTCTCTCTCCTTCTCTCTCTCTCTCTGTCTTCTCTCTTGTCTCTCTGCTCTCTCTCTTCTCTCTCTCTCTCTCTCTCTCTAAACCCCTCGCTCCCTTCTCTCCCCTGCCCCTCTCTGCTTGTGGAAGGAAGAGGGAAAATTAACGACGAGGGTGACATGAGAAAAGAAAGATTAGAACAAAAGAAAGAGGCAACAGAAACTTGATGTTGTGTTGTCTCTTTAAGTCGATTAAAGTAATTCATATACGCAAGTAGTTATCGATATCATTCAATACTCAACTTTTTTCCTCCAGTGGCGGACAATAGGCGACCCTGAAATATAGATACCACACAAACAATAATGATAAGACTGATAATTAAACGATAACGATAGAGAAGGAACAGAGAGTAGAAGAGTATGAGGAGAGAGGAGAGGGAGAGAGAGAGAGAACAGAAGATAATACCCAAACAATAATGATAACGACCGATATAAGATAACGATAGAAAGGACAGAGATGGAGAGAGAGAGAGTGAGAGACGAGAGAGAGAGAGAGAGAGAGACGAGAGAGGAGAGAGANTGTGTGTGTGTGTGTGTGTGTTTATGTATACCTGTGTGTGGCATATACGTACATACACATACATAAAAATTATTCATATAATTGTATATGAGGATCACAATAACAATGAAGGGAAATCACACACAACTGTCGGAAGAGGCCTTGCGTTTAAAAATTGTAGAAAATGGATAAATGTTAATTAAAACGAGTTTGCTTACGTCTTGCAACTCAAGAGCACATATCCGAGAGACACGGCGAAGCAAAGCGGATAATGGCGTTTGGACGGCTATGTTTAAGCGTATATTTCGTAATTCGATCACATTCCCTTTTGATTTGGTTCCAATGTTTTTTATAAGGTGGTAAATGTTGATTCGTTGCTACAGGTATTAATGGTGACTATGGTTTAACATTACACATAACTTAAAAAAAATATCTTGCAATGCAGGGCAACATGCTGACTGTGAATTCTCTCAAACTTGGCAATGTCCTGAGGAGTACATGGCATGTGCGTTTGTATATACAGAATGTACAACCTATGCTAGTTCTTGTACAAAAGTGCAGTTCAGTTGAAACACCAGAAGTGCAGCGTGACGGACCCGATCCTGCCCTCCGTGAAGGCGATCTTGCCCTCCACTTCCACGCCCTCCGTGGTGGCCACGAAGTCGCCCATCTCGCCCCGCGGCCAGTGGCCCTCCAGCCGCACGGTCACGCAGTGGCTCTCGTCGGGCCGGAGCGACACGTGCTCCTCGAACTCCACCAGCGGGCCCTCGCTGGTGGCGCTCCCGATCACGCAGCCGTTGCTGTCCTTGATGGCGACGGCCGCCGCGCCCGTGGTGGGGTGGATGCCCTTGCACTCCAGCTTGCTCACGAGCAGCGTGTTGGTGGTGCGCAGGTTCATGATGAGGATCTGCTCCTGCGAGCTGTGCACGAAGATGCTGCCGCGGGCGCTCTTGCGCGAGCGCGCGAGGGCGGGCGTCGTGCTGAGGGTGAGGCGGCGCAGGAGGCTGTCCACGTAGCACAGGCGCTTGTCCCTCGTCGGGCAGCAGATGGTGGGCAGGGGCACGTCCATCAGCTCCTTGATGTTCATTAAGATGGAGCTGATTTCCTGGAGGCTGAGCACGCCCGAGGGCATCACGTGCTCCACGAACTCGTCCGTCGTCATGGAGAGGAAGCGCACCATCGGCAGGAAGTCACTGATCTCGTCCCGGAGGCTTTTCGTCGACCGCCGCGCCTGGCCCCTGCGGAAGAGGCCTCGCTACAGCTCTTTGGCTCTGGGGAGGAGAATGGCTTGCGGCGAAGTGAGTTCAATCTACTCCAAGCATGTGCAGCGAGTGTGTGAACGCTGGCGGTTAAGAAATGAGTCAAGCAACTACTTTGCATGTACGCTTGTTTCCTGAGAAAGGTGCACCTTTTCTGCCGCCGAGTGCACATCTAAAATCAAATAAAATGTGTAAATGACAACTTTCATGATATCTACATAAACATTTAAGTAAACACATCGATTCCTACAACATCAATGTCA